CTCTCTCTCATGTATGCGTAAGGATCTCCAGACGCCTAGAGGACCGATTGGGTACTGTGTCACCATAAGCACACGCAGGCCATTGAGATCTGAGCCTATCCTATAGGGCTCTGCTACATGTGAGTGAGACCATATAGAATATTCCCTCACTGTACTTATTGAAAACGTTATCTGCACTATTTCTTGCATTTACATTTGTTTCAGATATATCGCTATGAGTCACGTTTTCCATACATATGTATGTTAACCCATATGGGTGAGTCAACAAATTTGTAAGCGCTCCATATGCACACCAGTGGTGGTTTTTATCATTAATTTCCAATACTGAGTGTACACCTAATCTTTTTTGTACTAATCTATAGGGTAGAGAGTCCCTATTTGTGTGGTAGCTGCTGTCATTCTATTCAATTATTAACTGAAAGCGCCTTGAATACACACAAATTCTTATTTCTGTGAACTTTCTTTAATACATTGACTGAAGTTTGTGATAAAATGGTTAGATGACAAGTGGCAAAATGCTTTAGTGAAAACATTTTTTAAATATTTTATTCAGATCGTATCATGTATAAATAAAGGTTATCAAAACAACTTTCTCTTTTAAAACAATATATCATATGGGAGCATTTATTCAGAAAGTGTGAAATTGTGGTAGAATTAAGGCATGGCATAGCGCCAAAAAGGCCTTGGTCACACATGCTTAAAAGCATATTAAACTGTTGATAGTTCCCAATTGATTCCTCTCCTGCAACGGTCATTAAAAAAACACATTAAGTCTTTGGTAGAATACTAGTCTACCAAATTACTTCCCTAACACTACCGTTATCTTTTGTGCCCCCATACCCCACACCCTCGAACATGTAAGCTCATTGAGCAGTGTCCTCAACCCCTCTGTTACTGTACGTCCAACTCGTCTGGTTACAATTATGTTTGTTAGTCCACCCATTGCACAGCGCTACGGAATTTGTTGGTGCTATACAATGTTAAAAAGAAATAAAATCAAAAGAGCAATCCTCAAGAAAAAAATTTTTTACAATTTAAATTGAGGAATTGGAGTTATTCTTTTGATTAGATTTTCAATGTTATAGTTTATTAAATAAATGTGCTGTGAACACATTTAATCTACATAAAATAAGGTTCTCTCTATATCGTAAAAGTACACGAAAAGATGATATTTATTGCTTCAGAGTTGACAATGTTCACAGAAAAACAAGAGGGAAAAATGGAAATGTCAAAATGCTGGGCTGGCCACGGAGTTCACATAGCGGCTGGGCTGGCCACGGAGTTCACATAGCGGCTGGGCTGGCCACGGAGTTCACATAGCGGCTGGGCTGGCCACGGAGTTCACATAGCCGCTGGGTTTGTACCAGGAATACTGCTGTATAACAGCACTGCACAGCTATACTTTGGGTCTTAAGTATAGAACCATAAGCTTTAATTTAGAACACTGATAGGGCTATTTACTAAAAGTAAGAATTGTGTCACATTTTAGCCCAAAATAACTGAATTGGAAGAAAAGCTGTCATGAAGAATTTTTCAAAATCAGTTATGTTGGTCTTAAATGTAAAACCATCTTTATATTCCTAACAATTCATCCTTTAGTAAATAGTCCTATCGCTGTAACACAAAACGGACCTTATTTTAGTCTACAGACCTCACATGTCTTATTAAGATATATAGGAAAACGTATACTTTCTGCATAATACTATGCAGTCATCCACGTGTAATTTACACACTACACATTACTGTCTCATCTAATCAATTTACATCACAATTTCAGTCACCCTACTTTTTCTAGTTCCCATAATAACCATTAACAATCCTGCATCAGGACATATTTGTGTTTTATTCAAGAAAGCCTTATTTTCGGTCCAATAAAAATCCAATTGTAAGATTCAGCTTTAATCTCATTTTAGCTATATTCCCCCCCCCTACCCCCATATACCGCAAATCATGGTTTACTAAATAAAATGCAATATGTAGATTAAAAGATTTCTTTAAAGGGACACTATAGTTTAATGTAGTGGTTCCGGTGTCTATAACCTGTCCCTGCAGGCATTTTAATGTAAAGGCAGTGTTTACATTGCTGCTTAGGGACATCTCTAGGTGCAGATACTCAAGATGGCCACTAGAGGTTCTTTCTGGGTCAGTACTGAAATGGAGACGTTGAACGTTTCTCATGGAGATGCATTGACTCAATGAGGAGATGCTGATTGGCGCAGCATGCGCAATAGCCTCCCAATGTGTTGCATTCGATTTGCTGAGATCACCAAAATTGATGTTCTCAGCCAAGAAAGTGGAGCATGGGTGGAGCCTGCTGCAACAAGACCCACACGGGATTGGAAAATTACATGTAAACTACCATTTAACCTATATAGTGTCAGAAATACACGTCTGTATTCCTGACACTATAGTGCTTCTTTAAAGAATAATGGTTGCTTAACAAGAGAAAAGCATCTTAGCCAATCTACCAAAAAACTAGTAATATGGAAATTAAAACCCCCCAATGATTCATGAAAAGATTTTTTGTTTCTCGAGTGGTCCTTTATCACATGATATGAATACCATACTGTCTCTTTACACTATCAGCTATTTGGTGTTTAGAGACAGACATTACGGTGAGTGTATTACGACGTTATATATTAGCAAGAAAACAGCAGCTGGTATGTTCATGCATCAAGTGTACAATGCAGTCCCCTCTACTGGGCTCACTTATAAAAATAAGCGTGTGGGGGTAAACCTCTAAAAGCCTAATCAATGGGGAATGATCTGCTGCAGAAATGTAAACCTCAAATATCTACTAAAAAAACCAAAACTAAATTACTTCTAGAAACCTTCGAGACATCCCAACACCAAAAAGTCACATAGTACAAACAAAAAAATAAAACATACCAGCGAGTTGAATAATGTTTTATTTCCTTTTTCATCAAGCACATACATGACAATTTCTACAGTCAATATTGAGTTAACCTTCAAGGAATGTCCCAAAGTAAAAGAACCTCAGTTTCGTTTTGTAATTTAGTGACAGCTTTGTTCCGACAGTTCAAGTGCAGAGGGGAAGTACATACTTTGCAAAACAAATGCAACTTTTGTCCAGGCATCAGGTGCAAAGCAGACCAGCTAGCTAATGTATACAGAGATAAAATGCTGTGTTCTCCGCCGAGGAGATAGGAAACTAAACTGTGACCTGAAAACACACTGCTAGTCACACTGCGGCAGGTGTTAACCCTGATCATGCCATACATGCAAAACAAGCATGAAAATCATTGTTCATTAACCATTTAACTTCAGCCAACAGTAAAACAGTTATACTAGACAGACTTCAAGGGCCTCTCCTACGGCATGGGATATGGCGGCAACAAATAAAAGATTATTAAAATGCACATCGTTTGCAACACGTTCAGTAAAATCTCAACATTTTTTGTTTAACGAAAAAGAATTTCCCAGAGAAATCATTGTTGCTTTCCTATGAACTAGGTTCTAGTAAGTTAACCATTTACGGCTGGAAACCTTAGAACATAAAAAGGCGTCTTTTCACGGCGGCATTAAGTTAGATAAGTTTATACTTTACATACACATTTTAACCCACGTTAGATAAGTGCCAACCTCCTGCTTCTCTAGAGAGTATGGCAAGAATAGGCAACCTTCGGCACTCCAGATATCATGGACTACATCTCCCATAATGCTCAATTTAATCTGATGAAGGTATTAAGTGGTGGTTAATTCATTTGTAAATTTCCTTAACTCAGCCACCAAACGGTTCCCTCTATTTTACAGCAGTATGATCCTCCATAAATGACCATATTTACAGGAAAACTGATCTGTTTTATGTTAAGTTTATTAATATATCTAGTTAAATTGCATTAATGACAATGTAAAACTAATTCAACCGGTGAGTCAAAGAACACTCTTCTTGTGTTTAAAGGTTTATCCATGTCATTTTGTGCCTACTTCCTGTGCCAGCTCACATTTACGCTATAATCTTGCAGACATTACGTATTGTCCATTTCAGCAGGCACAAGTGCAACGGTATCAATGACGCATGAAAAGGAGTTTTGCACTTAGGGGACAGTAATGACACCTAAGGCCACCTCATCTCAAAAAAGTGGTCTTGGTGCAGTGCCCTTGTCTGCTCAAGCCTGCAATGTAAAACACTGCTGCTTTTCCTTGACAGCCACTTGACTGCTTCCTCTGCTATTAACGAGTAAAACTTGGTTATAGATAAAATGGTGCTCATTTGATTGGCACAGCACCGCGTTTTGCCACTAATGCACACTAGCCTCCCAATGGGATAGCATTGGATTGGGTGAGATCTTCAACACTGATGATCTCAGCCAAATAGTAAAAATGGCAGGGAGCGCTAAAAAGGTAAGGAATACTCACCCTTTCAAACCTTCACACAGTGGGGGCAGGAGCACCTAGATAGGACACTATAGTAACTTTTGCTAATCGCGAGATTTCAGTAGTAAATGCCAACTGTCAGTGGAAGGAGGCTGTAGTTATTTGTAGATGTGACATAAAAAGGGGAAGATTTTAAATGCAACACCAGTGTTTAATTTACTGCTTACATGATGTCTATGTTGGTAAGTGATTTAACAAAAATAAAGATTACATTGATGGCGTCTTAAGATGATATTTTAAGGCAGGTGTTACCAGAATCCACATATTCTAAGTATTGTCTGATTTTATTGTTACTTAAAATATCTTCGGATGCCTAGTTGTTGAACTGACCACCACCAGTCAATACTACTTCCATTAAACTGCACCAAAGTGATTTGGAAATGCATAAATAATGTTAAACAAAAAAAACATCACATTTAAAAATAATAATAACACAATGAAATAAGTCTTTTAGAAGAGGCACATGTGAGGGAATGTGGTCTTCCAACAGTAGTTGCCATTTGTAGAATTGAGGTCTTGAAAGGTTGTTCCGCAGAGTTTCAAAACAATTGTTTTACTACATACTGAACAAACAATGGGGGTGGGAATCACCAGCATCTTCATTAAGCCAATGCAAGAACTGCAAAACAGAGAGCACAAATTCAGTTAGAATTTCTATTTAAAAAGCACCCAAGAATACAAATTTTAAAAAAATAGCTACAAATATGTGTTGCGTAAACCTCTAATACGCTAATATAAAACATATAAGTTGCAATAGCAGCAAAGGCAAGGACCTTAAAAATACAGCATATAACCACCTTAAGAACCAAGCGTCGGTTTGCTTGTTTTGTACTTGAGGACACAAGCAATTTGGGCATTTTTGCTATGTATGTGTTCAACTGATTTTACAGTTAGAACTCTGACAGATGGATTTGATGGTCTTATGTGTCATTTTGGTGCATTACAGCAAGTTGACTGTTCAAGTAATGTACAAAGGACAACGATTTCTAAAAGTAGAAACTCTAGAGTATCTCAAATGGTCTAGAACATGCCTTAATGTACTAGTATTCGGCCTCAAGTTTATGGCAAATATTTTTTTATACTGGACATTTTGTTAACATGTGGTACAAAGTTGCAGTGTCATTAAAAAAAAAAAAAAAAAAACTTTACATTACTATTTCTGATTTTACAGACAGTAAAACCACTTCAATGAGGTTAAATGGTTATATAGAAAGCGTGTAATCTCAGTACATCCTCTCTTGGTAAATGTCATATATACTAATTGTTCTTTAATGGAACTCTTTTCTAGACTTCAGGAAAATACTTTCTACCTATTAAGTGATTCAGGTCTATATGAAGCATTCACAGTAATATAGCATTCGTGATGGATGCTGCCAATTAACTCATACCGGTCAATGCCTCCTGGGCAAAGTATTTTACGTCCATGTCCTCATCCTGCCCAAGCTTCTGCAATACAGGCTTGACCTCAGACTGCAACGTGCTGCAAAACAGAAAATATGCCTCTATGAAAAGCACGAACACATAAAATATACAGATTGTTAACAGTTTACTACCATTCAAGCAGAAACTGCGCAATTACACAACACGATAATACAGCAGCAGGTGGAGGCAGACCAATATTATGTTAGAACATATTTAGTGTCACTATGTACCATAACTATAGCTTGTGTAGTGGTTATGGTTCTACAAGTCTGTGTATGCTATCCTCTTTTTAAATCTCCCCTCAGGGCGCTCTGCCTATAATTGCCATTCAAGTTGGACAATGTCTCAACATGAGAAACCAGGGAGTGTAGTTTATCTCAACGTGGCTTCAGTAGAGGAGACTAATGGGTACTGAGAGCCTCGGTATTTGTCAAACCTCTCCAAATGGTTTCAAAAGAAAACGGACCTCACAGACTGTAGCAACATAACCATTACAACAAGCTGCAGACTTTAGAATAATCTGTGTCCTTTAAAATAAAATAATGTTGGGACATTATCAGAAACCTTTAAAGGAACACTAAGTCCAAAACCACTTCATCTTAATTTGGAGCAGAGATGCTGTTTTTCAGACAACGTCTTAAATAAAATGAAAAAAAATAGAATAAAAATTAAATATCTTTACTTTTAATGTTCCTTTAAACAGGTATCTTTATATGTTCATGCAATCTGGACGTAAACAAAGCAAGGAAAATGTTTTGGAAAAAAAAGGTTAAAGGTTTTAATGTCCAACGTCCACGGATATCCCAGACCTACAGCAAAGTTTTGAAAGATAAATATTGAGCAACACTAGATCATTGTTTTGAGAGATTAAGCAAGATATCTTTTCAACTCTTCCACAATTATAAATGACTTACTTGCTATCCAGTACTGGTCCTATTCTTTGCAGTGATTTAGCCACATTAAAACGCACATTTGCCACTTGATCAGCTGCCATTTTTAAAACAATTGGAAGCATCAGCTTCGTGGTTATATCTTTCCCACAGGTTTCAGACAAGGCCTGCAAAGAGATGATGTTAAAGACATATTGCACCAAACCACAAGATTCCTAGTTTAACAGAAAGCACTCGCTCAACAAATTTCACATAAAATATATCGCCCTAACTACCATAAATATTGCATAATAGTTTAATATTCATTCAGCATCTGCTCATTTTATCGGAATGAAGTTGTTATGGTGCCATAAGGAAGAATTGGGAGGCTAGTGCGATTGGCTCAGAGCAGCGATTTGCTGCACAATCAGTACCGGCTCATACAGAAACACTGAGTCTAGGCATCTATATAGGGAGCGTTTGATGTCTCCATGCAGTGTGTGGAGATTAGGAAAGCTGGTCCTGCAATCCTTGGAAGACCCTCTACTGGCTTGCCTGAGTGACAACCACTATAGGTATTCAATGGCAGCAACTTTCTTGGAAAGGGCAGCTTTTACACTGGTGAGCCCACAGGGACAGGCTACATAAACTAGAAGCATTTCATGAAGGAGAAGTAGTAGTTCTGATGAGAAGAGATTCTAACCACATGACAAGACGGCAATGATGCAAGATTCCAAGTTCTAGCATGCAGAGTTTATTAAAAACCCTGCACTCACGCTCAATAACGAGAGCCGCTTACAACTGAATTCATTTTTTGTAAACCAGGGAACTCGATTTATGGTCTAAATGAACAAAATAAATAACAATGTAATATGTCCAAATACTCACATTAACACAAAAAAGGGTTGTCATTCTGTGAAGATAGTTGGGATCATTTGCCATGGCCAAAACTTTGGGAACAATTGTATTCTGGGCCCACTCTGCACCAAACTTTTCCACCAACTTCATGAGATTGTTTGTGGCAGCTTCTCGGATGGCATAAACTGAAAGAGGAATGGCAGAGAGCAGTCAAAAAGCAGATCAATCACATGAAAGGGAGCATTTTAAACTGCTCCATCAAGAAGACAGCAAGGGAAACACATGAAAATGATTAATATTTACAAAACAGGTTTAGATGGTTATAAAGTTACACAACATTTTAGGCGAATTACTAGTAAAATTAAAAGCTATACATTGTTTTTATATGTTTTATACCCCACCCTTAGATCATGAGGTTTACAAAGCCTAGTGATTACATACATGTAAACACAGAGAGTAGAATATGAGATATATTAATCACCATCCACTAGGAAAGTTATAGTCAGCTCTTGCTAATTTCGAGATACAGCTACTGATATGCCGCTGGACTCCTATCTGCCTGGCTATCTCACCAGCTATAGATATAAAAGGAAGGAGTGTCTTGTCTGTTAGGTATATATTTGCATTAGTGGCACAAACATAGAAAATGGTACAAAAGCTTACAATCAAAAATTGAAAGTGGAGCCAAAAATAGAGATTGAGAATTTTATGGTGGACAAGTTTCACATCAAAGAAATCACTATAGATGTTGAAAATAATTAGGTTCCATGAAGTTAACTGCAGAAAGAGGTGGGTAGAAGCTGCACGTTTGATAAAGGTGTTCGTTGCAACACAGATTTATTATTTAAACGACAGATGTGATATGGAGCAGCTTCTAGAAGTTCAATAGAGCAGTTAATCTTAAATGGCAGCTATGTAAGTGTTTTGCATATAATACATAATAGATAGGTGATGCATTAAGGAGTTTTATAAATCGTTTCAGTGACAATGACAGAATTCCCCATGATTGATTGGCATAAAGGGTGATCCTACTTAATGTCTCACTGTTGGCCATATCTGTGGATTGTTTATGGTAAATTAAATGAACCTGGTTCCATATACTGTACAATATCCTTAGTGCTCTTACCATGATCAACAAGCCAAGCCATGCACAAAGAATTTAGCTTTTCATCAAAGAATTCCACACCCTGTCAAACGAAAGGGATCACAGATTAAATATCAGCTTGTTCAAGAAGTGACGGAAAAACAAATTATTTCATGTTGCAGAATATTTTGCTTTGATGAGATTGATTGTATAAGATTGCTGCACACAGACACGTTAATATTTATTTTTTTTCAATCTGAATTCTGGTATGAAATGGGGCTTCAGTTCAATCATATAGTGATAGGAAGATGGCCTCCCCAGCCAAAAAGGGAGTTTGGTTTTCTTTTATTGCAAATCTGACACTGGATTACATTAAAGGGACACTATAGTCACCAGAACAACTACAGCTTATTGAATTTGTTCTGGTGAGCAGAATCCTTTCCTTCAGGCTTTTTGCTGTAAACACTGTCTTTTCAGAGAAAATGCAGTGTTTATATTACAGCCTAGTGATAACTCCACTGGTCACTCAGATGGCTGTTAGAGCTGCTTCCCAGAGCAGTGCTGCACAGCGTGCTGCACATTCAGTGTCTCTGCCCTCTGCTTGGAGACATTGAACTTTTCTCATAAAGATGCATTGATTCAATGCATTTCTATAAGGAGATGCTGATTGGCCAGGGCTGTGTTTGGTTTGTGCTGGCTCTGCCACCTTGACAAGATCAGCCAATCCAATGCTTTCGTATGTGAAAGCATTGTGATTGGCTTTTGATCAACACTTCTGATGATGTCAGCCAAGCAGGCAGATCAGGGGCAGAACCAGCAGCAACAGACTGGAATTAAAGTAAGATTTTACTATATTTATGGGGGCCAGGAGGGCTGCATGGTGTTTTTAACACTGTAGGGTCAGGTATACATGTTTGCGTTCCTGACCCTTTAGTGTTCTCAAATATTGTAATGAAATTTAGCCAAGGAAGTTACTCATGGTAAAGAAACAAAAAAAAAATAAAAAATTCTCAGGCAAAATGGAGAGGACAAGCCAATATTTTCCACCTTATTTTGGTATTTAACCTCTTAAGAACAGAGTCCATTGTCCATGTTCTGAACCAAAACAAAACCTTGAATTTGATCTATAGCATTGTTCCACTGTAATTTAGGGGTTCCCCTTTAAATGGGCCACAATACGCATTATATTTGTTTTTTTATAAAGGGATTTCATTTAATATCCTATATGTATACCTAATATTAGATGTGAATAAAATGTGAAATTAGAGGAAAATTAACACATGCAGTGCAAGTAATTAAAAGCAACTCAAAATAGATTGATATATAATCAGTCCTGATTGTTAAATACACAATATGTTTAGAATCAAAATAATTTTTGATAGTTAATGCTAACCCTATACCAACCAACAAGTTTACTGCTAGTGTAAGAATAGAATAACCTGTATGCTATTCTTACACTAACAGTAACCTTACCCTATCTTTAGCCCTAAAACAGCATTAAACCACACACAGCATCAAGCCTTACCCTACTCTTACCCCTAAAATCTTCCCATAACCCTACCCTAACCCCACCAACAACCCTAAGGTAACCCACTCCTACCTAAGATCAATTTTGTTATTGGAAATGGATTTACTGTATTTAACACAATAGTTGGTAGGATATTGCCACCATCTACTGGACGGTTTTAGAATTACACTTTTAATTCTGGATGAGCCTGGTTCCCAGCCGATTAGAATATATAGAAATCTGTGCTGGGCGGCTAGCAAAGTTCAGCATCAGTCCATATCACCACGCACAGGCTGGGAGACCCTGGAGGGCCTGCACCTGCACCTCACAAAAACCACGGAGTGCGATCGTTCAGTTGCATTTTTCATGAAAGGGCTCTGTCCGACGACTTCCATTGCTGAACAGAGCTCATTGGTCAGTCTGGGTCCACTAAAACTGGCCCCATCACATTAAGGGGGGCCCAAGGTTAGTTGTGTGAGCAGTGATTTAACCCTACTCAAATCGCAACCCTTTAACAGGCATTTACATTTGCAAACAGCTCATCTAAAAGTCTGGGGTCTATAAAAATGGCCACAGCAGACAGAGAGAAGCCCCACCTGGGGTTCCCTGATGTAACCAAATTGCTTTTGCAATGTTGTGGTCTAGGTGCCCACATACCAACAACAAACCAGTTCTTGACTTTGAATGTCCTACATAATTGCCCTCGGCAGTTTCATAGAGGCATGTCGACACCAAAGGAGATTGACACTCCGCGCAATAAGTCTAAGATCCAGATTGTTCTGACACACCAGCACTGGTGTAAAACACTATTACACATGAAGGAAAGTGCCAGAGAAAATGTAAAAAGCTCTTGTTTTAATAGTGTATCAACTTTTAAAAAAAATTTTTTTTTTTTTTTTTTAAAGGAATACCAACAAAAGTAGCTTTGCTTTTATACACATTTTCAAATTTAACAAGTATACTCACCAGTTGGCCAGCAAGGAGTGGCATGTACTCTATGATTGCTAGTCGCACCCGCCATTTTGTATCCTCAGCAAGCTCCACAATGGCTGGAAGGAGAGACTGAGAAAGCTGGCGGATTCCAATCACCTCGTTCACACAGTCCAGGTTCGATATGATATTCAAACGTACTTCGGGACACTATGAGGAAATACGTTACTGGCTTAAAATGATGTATTAATAAAACGCCATTCATTATTTAAGTTATAAAGCAGTAATATTACACTATGAAGTAGTAAATTGTCACTTCTATTATTTCTACTTGTAATGCAAAATCCAGACCGATATCCAGTTACAAAGATCAAGTCAAGACCATTGATGTTCATTAAAATGATGTCTTGATCGATTTGATTCCTGACACAGGATGCACTCTTAAAGATAATAAATAGCAATTGTACACAGAACACCATACTTGAGGCCCTTAAAATAAGTTTCCATTGTTTTACCAAGCATAAAAACGTATGGTCCCTGATAAAGTGCCGATGGTCTACGACATGCATAGAGTGCATTGATGCAGTGCTCTCCAACCTGCCTGTTCCAGGCGTTCATACATTTTTTTTTAAATAAACATAGGATTTATTGGTTTTACAGCGTTCTGTGGACTGAGAGACTTTTTAGTTATTTTTTTAATTCATGTGCAGTCAAGCACACTCTTTTTTTAAAGGAGCATTTAATGTACCCTTTATTACTTGGCTGCATGGTTCTGACTTTTTTTTTTTCTTGATTCAAGAACTATTTCATAACAATTAAGGTTGTGCTTAATGTAAAATGATGAAACAATGTAATTTTGGTAGGACTGCAGCAGGGACCATGCTTAGTACCCTATTATTTATTGCCCCACAATGATGACACAGACGGATATTTATGTAATTTGCCTCCTATTTCAAAAAGTAGATCAAATCTTTTAGTGTATGGTGGGGAATGTCAATGAGCAATGTGATGGCCTTTATCTCAGGGCAGCACTAGAACATACATGTCCTGGCCAGCCGGAGACTGATGCAATAACCCATCTTCATTTATTCAGGCCCTTTTCAACTAATGATACAGAAAGAGAGTGGAAAGTACCATCTCGGGATTCTGGAGACCTTCAGTTTAATGTACCACTATCTCGAGAGAACCACAATTACATTATTTTTTCTAAATATACATTACGTCATTATGGAACATATATATATTCTATATACACAGACACTTTTTATTCATCCAACACCGACTAGTGAACTGTATTGTTCAAATGATTGCATGTTATGAGACATTCATCAGGTCGAGAACAAAAAAGTCCAAAAACACCAGGATTACCGGGCACTGGAAAGCAACGTTCACAGTATAAGATGATTTTGCACCTGTCGTTCCCAGGCTGCACATTTAAGCTAGTTAATACTAATGATTCATTTCGTGTCCAGCAAGTATTTCCAGCCATTATGAGCAACCTAGGTAGCTCTAGCGTAAGAAATTGCCTGTAGGAGTGCAATAAGCCAAGTGTACTAGAGCAGCAGTTCACACAAATTGACAAATAATCAGCGTCTCTGAAAGCCAGACCCCAAGCAATGCACATTGAAACCCCTTCACAGAAAGAGCAAGTGTGCACGGTGTTATTATGAAGGTTTGACATCCACCTAACCATTACAATGTAGGCGACCTGCACAGAACAGCCGTACAAAAGGAGACATTACCTCATCTTTCAGCTGAGCCAAGAACAGGGGTAGGAGATGTTCAATTGTATTATCTTTGCCTAAAATTGTGGATAATCCCATGATTACAGAGGCCAAAGCAGATTTGACATGCTGGTTGGTGTCCGAAACCAGCTCCTATAGAGGAGAAAGAAAAAAGCAGAACCATTATATTTGACGAAAAGAAACAATTAACTGCAATTATGGAGCATAGTTAGAAAGGAAAATGGTGAGGAACAAAAAAAACACACTAAAAACACGATCAGAGCAATGGTAAGATATTAGAGCCAATATTCAGTTTCTTACAACATGCATATTAACTTGCCACTCAAGCATGTTTCTGGACTAACACATAGCTCAAACCTACCAACCAGATGCTTGGGTAGCCCTCACGGAGGAAAGAGAGAGAGATCTCTCTGGTATACCATAACAATGGCCAACAACAGGGAATCTATGGGCTACACAAATGTTGGATTTCTGGAGAACATATATTCTATCATTGATCTGGCTGGATACATATAGTGTTTGACATTGAGGAATCCACATTCTGGCAATGTTATACCCTTGACCTATGGAGTGGAGATGGGGAAGAAGTGGCAAGTTATTAACTTTGGACTGGTTATGCTTCTTAGGCTTGCTAATGTTTCATATTATTAATTCTACTCATGTTCCTACTTTCACATTTGTTCAATAAATGAGAAGCTTTCTAAGTAAAAGAAGATACACACCTTGAGGAAGGTGTTCTCCACTCATGTTTCTAACATTACATTGCTGAATTGACAGGGGAACACAACACTTTTAGTTAAAATAACCATATTGGGAGAAAAACAGAGCTATTCAGGTCACAGATTTGAAAATTCGTAAGGATGCTCTGCGCAGAGATCATCAATTTACGTGGGCAACACACAGTATCAAATATTTGGGAATCAACATCACCAGGAACCTCTCCCTACTATTCGAGAGCAACTTTCCTGACTTAATAAAGGCCGTAACACATGACCTCACCACATGGAACAAGCCACACTTTGGGTGGTTTTGTAGGATGAACATCCTACCCAGAATACTATACATGCTACAAGTGCTCCCTATAACGATTCCTAAGTCCTGGTTCACTACAGCTCGTAAAACACTCATCACATTTATTTGGGCTCACAAACCTCCACGAATATCATACTCATTACTCACAAAACCAAAGGACAGAGGCGGCCTGGGTCTGCCAGATGTTGAAACATACCATAACGCAATACTGCTAACCAGAATATATGACTGGACACTCCCACAATCCAGGAAATAATGGGTGAACTTAGAGGACACCTTTTTCAGAGTACCTATCTACACAATACCCTGGCACAAATCAGGGCAGGTACTAATGCTCCACAACCCACATCCCACAATTACACCGACTCTCCGCATGTGGGCAACCTTACGCACGCACGAACTAATGTCACCTTACCCATCACCACTATAACCCGCTCACACACAACCCCTTATTCCAGCCAGGAGTAGATGGCAAATCTTTCCAGTCCTTCCATAAGACGCCATATCTTACATTAGGGGATACCATGACAACCGTCGGGTCGAGAGCAATAAAAACTGCTGTTCCCTCCAATCCATAAAAACAAAAACACATATCAACAATGTACTCCCAGGTCCTCTCCACGAGACCACAACAATTGCCGGCCTTCACCACCACTTGGGAAAACGAGTTAAACTTAGCAATACAGCCTGACAAATGGAAAAAAAATCTTCAAACAAATCCATAAATCCTCAAAAAACACAACGACGCAGGAAAGCAACTATAAAAGAATAGTGAGGTGGCACTACACCCCCTCGAAACTACACTCCCTATTCCTTGCAAGCTCCAAACAAACAATGTTGGCGCTGCCAATCAGCCGTGGGCACCACCTCGCATATTTGGTGGACATGCCCAGTGATACAAAAATTCTGGACAAGCATAGCGGGCCTGATCCACACCATACTTAAGATAACCGTCCCCCTAGACCCAGATACATACATATTCCTTCTAACCCCAAACGGCTTACCGAAACACACGGCGGCTCTGCTCCTACACCTTATAACAGCTGCGAACCAGCTTATCCCAGCCTTATGGAAACAACCAAACCCCCCGACCATTCGCGAATGGCTACAAAAAGTAGAAAATACCAGAAGTCTAGAAGAAACATGTTATGCCCTTTCAAATCAATACCAACAATACACAGAGATCTGGTACCCATGGACCCAATACCTCCGACAGACCACCTAGAGACCGAGATCACTCTCCCCCTCCCAGCATCTCTATCCCCCCTCCCCCCACCTCACCTGGGAAAAAATAAAGATTAACACTATGGGAATATGAGCCAGCTCATAAAAACGTAGGGATGTAGGAAAATGTAACAGAACTCCAATACTATTATCTCTACATGTTCAACGCAAAGATGCACCCTCATGTATGAATCAGTACTGTTGATTACTTAACAAATGTAACACCAATGTCTTGTACCATGTACTTTCTCATACCTGTCAAACTTATATGACGAAAATGTTGTACAATATACTGACCTTCAATAAAAAAAATAAAAATAAAAGATTTGAAAATTCGTTATCAATCATTCCGAATTCCTTCTTTAGTGAATAAATGTAATTAACCAAAATATAAACATTGTATCCAAAAATAAACCCCAGCCTGAAGTACCGGATAGGTATACATACCATACATCGAGAAAATCATTTCCCTTGATCCCCAAATTTCCCTTGATCCCCAAATTTATAGAAATGGGTACATTTAACAGCCACAGGAATATTTGTGACAATAACGAAGCTCTTGAATTTTTTTTAATCATCTTGTCATTTCCTGCAGTGCTTAGTCAATCATGTATGTGACAATTATTTTGTAAGCACCAGGGTTGTCTGTCCATATTCTGCCAGGCAACTTCAGTACATCTCTATCTAGTGTCTGTTTATTACAATAATGTTAATGAAAGAGAAGATGGCTTGAAACAACCAATTATCTGGACAGTGTTAAAACACACTGTAGTCTGATACTCTTCAGGTGTCCACAAGTCACCAAGAGAGATTTAATGAACCATGGCTATGCTTATTTCCAATCACGGAGTCAGAGAAAGGATTCCTTACAGATAATGAAATCTAAATTAAAAAAAAAAAGTTAAAATAAAACACACGGCGACGGGATGACGTAGGACACTGAGTGGGCGGAGGGTCCATGTTGCGCGCCAGTGAAGACGAGTGTTCTCCTCCACACGCCGATACCGCAACCGATACTGAACTAATGCAGTAGCTGATACCGGAGCTGTGTTAGATAGAACACTACAACCATCCAGCGGGCAACTTACCGGATGCAACCTGTGGAAGTCATCTTACCACTGCACCCATTGGAAAGCATGTATTGTGGCTGTTGCAAGAATTCATTAGAAGAACAGATAAGTTCACGTGGGGGACAGCAGGGAGTTTGTGGGGCATTTGGATAAGAACAAGGTTAACTACATGCCGCATATCTTCTGCTTTTAAAAAACAACATGCTATTGTTCTTTTCTTGCATGCTTAATGTTTGCTAATTATGGAAATTTTCCTGATTAAGGATTACTAATAGAGGGCTAAAATGAAACAAATAGCCTCTCTGGTTGTCTTATTAAAACAACTAAGTATTCATTCTCTGTACAGGTTTTAAGCTGATTTACACAATCATTACTGGTCAAAATTCACAAAGGAGAGCGAATGAGTGAATCTAGGAAGATAATTTATTCATTGAAAATTTTGAACAAGTGTATTTGAAACACTTCATTCTGGCTAATAGGGAGATTTCCCCCTAGATTTACTAGGGACTTAAAAGAGAAGGTAGGTCTGAAGAGAGTGAAAAAATGGTTAAAAAAAAAGAAAAAAAGAAGAGAATCCTCACAAAAATGAAAGAAGACTTTCTACATTATTTCCCTCGACCTAAACCTTCAGATCTTTAACCTAGGTTATTACTGGCCGAACATAACACCTCTAATACTACTGAGAATGATGAGAATAACGATACTAATGACATAGTTCAAAAACAACAAGCCTAAATGCAGCAGAACTACATCTTGCATCCCAAGATTATATCATAAAATTCTTGGATACTCAATTAATCCAAATCAAGGAAGAACTTAAAATCCATAAAACAAGAAATGACAAAAATGCATGAAAAAAATTAATGAAAACGAACATAAAATGGAAATGTTCTAATTTGAATCAAACGAACAGAGAACAAGAGAGTTAACGAAATGAACTCATTTGAGGCTTAACTCACAAATGCAGAAGACAGAGAAAGAAGAAAAAAAAATCTCAAAATAGGGGGCATCTTAGAAGAGGTGGACTCGGGAAACATTAGACCTTATCTAATGACACTTTTTAAGGACATGAAGGTCCAAGAGGCACATGGCAATGATATTATAAAAAAAGAGTTCACAGACTCCCTAAACCTAGCTATCTCCCTGAATAAACACCATGTGACATCATTATAAAATTCATAAAACAAAAAATTGTTTTCGCTTCAAGAATTTTCCACACAGAGGAAGGAAAATGTCAAAAACTACATTTCTTCCAAGACCTCTCTAGCAAAACAAGACAACTGAGAAGAGAATTCAAACCAATACTGGATGTCCTTAGGAATAAGAACATAAAGTATAGATGGGGATTTCCTACAGAAATT